CACTTGAGTGCTTCTGCCTACGACGGAAACCCCCCCAGCGAAGGAAGCTCCAATATAAAATAGGGAAAGCCCCATACAGAAAGGGGGTTCACGTTCGAAAAGAGGGAAAAAAGAGCAAGAGAGCAATTGATGTAAATTGTAATCACCTCAAAAAGAATATACAACCACAGTGGATGTAGCTCTGATTTTATAGAGTGAACCACTATAAAAATCTCTTTGTGTTCCTTTATTTTAGAGCATTGTTCTTTCAAATTGTTCATCCCTCTAAAAACATCAAACACCTTCGGCACAAAACTTTTACATATAATCTATTAAAGCCGGTAACCCAATGGGAAACCTAGAGGTAACCCGGCCTGTTTTTGTTTACCAAAATTTACCGTCAACAGTTACATTAACCTATGTTGAACTTTTCCAGCTATTTCATAAAACTCAATGCTCGGGAGTCGGGAGGATTTAGTTGCCGGTTAAAAATGAAAGGGAGATAAGGAAATTTTTACCGTCGAGTAATTATTTTAACGGTCATATTTGCAGTAAGTGTGACACTATAAATTTTTAATACATATTTGTACTGATTTAATTATTAAAAAGTTAATCTAACAATTAAAATTGGTTGTTTTTACTGATAAAACAAAATAACATACTCTATTGTAAAGATTATTAAAAGAGGAAAAAAAAACAAAGAAAACTCCCGTTACAGTAGAATCTAATGCTTGTAAGAACCTAAACCAATCTTCTTGTCTTTGGTTACTAGCTTGAATCTATGCAAGACTATCTCTAATTCTTTTAATGTGATTACTCATTTCTTTTAAACCGGATTTAACAATTAAATTAATTACGTGGCATGCACAACGTTGGTGGAAAATAGTACCGTCACCGAATAAACTTAAATCATTTTCAAATAACTCAATTGCTTTTGTATTGGCACTAGCATTATCTAATGTTATAGCCATTACTTTATCTCTTAATCTAAATTCATCAATTACATTTAAAATGGTATTATATATTAAATCCGCGCTATGTGATCCTAGAACACATTTAAAATCTAATATTCTCTTATCGAAATCAAATCATTTAAAGTAATGTCCGGTTATAGCTAAATAATCTTTATTGGCAACGACATACCAAATATATGTCGTTAACGCAACGCACCCGCTAGTCGAGTGTAAAAGGTTTATTAATACTTATTTTTCTTTTTTAAATAATTTTATTAAATATTTCCTAAGAGTAGTTTTTGAAGTGAACTGTACATTAAGATTATGTACAACCTTAATATATCATTGTCAATTAGGATGCTCTACAAAACTAAGTGGTTGATCTAAAGCAGCTATCATTCATGCAACTTTCATACGATCTACTTGCGAATCCTATTTCCAAGTGGTTAGACCACCAGTTGCGCGATCAAAAGATAATTGTGTTTGGCGGAGTTCGGATCCGCAGGATTGGCTAAGCTTTTGAAGACACTTTTCAGAGTGTCTTCTCAAGTGTGTGGTGTCGTGAATAGTGTCACCTTGTAATTTAGATAAACAATATTTACATTGAGCTACATGTTTAGTGTTACCTTCATTGTCGATCTTCTCAATTGTGTCGAAGTGATCCCAAACTGTCGAGGTGCGCTTGCATTTCCTCCTAGAGGTTGCAACACTTGCAGACGCAGTCGCACTGGCACTCGCCGCTTCTCCACGCCCACCACCATTGCGACCACGACCTCCAGTACATCCACCAGGGCTCGATTTAGTAGATTCCTGCGTAACAAATTCATTAGTGGGAAATTGCCGTTCTTCCACGTTGTGTTGGGCATCAACAGGAATACGACTATAACCAAAATGATCCATTATAAAAAAAATAAGAGCAATTTGAGAGACAGAGCTTTAGGATAATGTGATAGTTTTTAGAAAAATTGTGAGAGAGATTTAAGAGATTGAGAGAGATTGAGAGAAATTGAGAGGGATTGAGAGAGTTTGAGTGAGAAAAATGTGTGGGGGATGGGAGGTATTTATAGGGAAATTTTTGGGTTAAAAAATTAATTTTTTTTAAAAAAATCCGGGTGCAAGAGCTATTTAGGGGTTTCGACGGGTCGGGTTCGGCGGGTTCGGGCGACAACGGTAAAAAAACTAGCCGTTGGACGGGTTTTCAAGCATTCGGCATGTCGGGCATTATGGCAAAATTTGGATTTTCGGGTCGTGCACCAACGATCGAAATTTTGACTGTTTCTCGGGTATTCGGGCAAATCGGGCTTGGCCGGAAAATTTCAAAAAAAACTCCGGCTGACAGCGGTTGATGGCGCCTACATGGCGGGGGGCTCCGGTGTGGTGACCATTTTCGGGCTGCCCGAACCCGAGCCTAAATTTACAAGTTTGGATAGGCCGGCAATTGGGCTTGCCCGCCGAGCTCGAAAAATTCTTGCCTCGGGCCGGCCCGCCGGCCCAAAGTTCCAAGACTACAGTAGATGATTATATATTGTTTGACTAATTATATATCCCGTAATATTTTGGTTGGTATATTATCTGAATCTCGGAAATAGGCTGTAGGGTGCACAACATGACTATAAGTCTTTCGTTAGCTTTCTTTATATGAAGTATCAGAATTTCATCAAAGTTTTTGACAAATTTTACATACATTTTTTGTGCTTATATGATTATAATGTAAATATTTGATGTAGAAGCTCTTGGGAAAATTTTTCTCACATTTATTTTGAGCCTCCAAGACGCCTCTATCTAACTAACTGAGTTTTGGTAGACATACTAAAGACGATTAATAGTAGCCGTTTACATACCAAACTAAGAAGGGCCTAAAGATATAAATGCTGTGGTTGGGAGGGACGTACGACGTACGTGGCGAGTCTTCTCGAGAAAAAAAAAAAAACGAAAAAAACAAAAACTGCTGCAACCACTGTGTGCTGTGTTTGCATGTGAATTACTAAGTGAACGTTTTATTTGATAAATTTAATATTATGATACAGAATTATTCTCAATTTATATATATTTTTTATTATTCTCAATTTATATATATTTTTTATAAAAAAAAATATTATAATAAATTACAAAATCATAGCACAAATTCACTAACTAAACGCTTCCTAATAGCTTTTATATATCTGCCAATATTTTTCCATTCACAGAATCCCGCACGAAGAGCCCAGCATTCAAGGAGACCAACTTGCCGTACACTTTCACTATTATCACTTGTTCATTCATGGCATGCATGTATGATATACGTATATGTATACATATACATACACATGTATATCTGATGGGCTAAAGATTATTGTGGGGCTACCAAAAGCATGTCATAACAATTTCATCTCGGGAATCGTTATTGTTTTGGAAGTTATTTCCTTTTCGTGAAAATTATTCTGATCCATAGTCGAAAAATATCGCCAGGCTAGGAGATAAGAGAGTAGTGGTACTTTACGATGCTTTTTCAGTACAATTTAATCAACCTACGCTTACAAGAAAAGTGCATGTTATTGTCCAAAAAAGAAAAAAAGAAAAAAAAATCCTCTAATAATATTAAATTCTATGCAAGCTACGTCGTCTAATTTAAATTTTTACGTCACATGTAAAATCTCTCATTATAAAGAGTATTGAAACCCAAAATCTATACAAATAAACAAAAATAAACCGTGGCAAGACCCGCCAATGGAAAACAAAATGAACATATTTAAAGTACCTTATATGCAAAATGACATAAGATCCATGTGATAATAAGCATTCAAAGAAGCAAAAGGATGTATAAAGCATATTTCAACACTCAAACGTGGGTGATGCTTAAAGTTAACGATATTCAACTGTTGATCCAACTCTAGATTATAGATGAATCATGAAAATAGAATATGAGGAAGGTAGGTAAACTCTTGGGTTACAGATCGATGATGAAAATGAAATATGAGGAGAATGAGTAATCTATTTCAGTTAAAAAATGACAAAGTAGGAGAAATTTAGTGCAACGGAGGATTCCCAAAGCTGGAAAACAAGAAGATGGAAGAACGTGTCCAAAACCCAAAAAGAGGAACAGAACAAAGCATATATATATATATTGAAACTCGAAACCAATGTTCCAAACGGAGCAGTTGAGTTAAAACATGTACATGATAAAAGCTAATGGGTGTACGACTGAAAAAGTTGCGTTGGAATTTAGCACTCGATTTACCCTTCTAACATGTATGGCATTTCCAATAATGGGTTCACCATTTTTTTTTAAATATACTAAATATTTTAGTCGACTACTAACAGGTGGTCAGGAGATAATTGTACATATGTAGAAGTTATCTAACCTTGTAGTATTCCGATCTATGTACATGTGTAGAAGTTATCTAAACTTGTCATATGAATAATGCATATCACGTTTATAGTCATTTCCTTTTTCTCTCTTCTTAATTTGAACTGACAAATCATAATCCAAACCTTTAAACCTATAAATTTTAATATTATTTGAGTATGATTTAACAATATTAAGTTAATTATGATATAAGCATTCGTTCACACAAATTACAAGGGCCGGGCCCCAATAAATTATCGATGTAGATTGTGCATTCATGATACTATTATTATTGATTCGATCACTTTAGAATAAAAATGAGCCTTTCAACCATAGAATCAAGGTAAATAAGTGAGAGAAAGAAAAAGGAAACATAGGAAATTGGTGGGATGCTTCCTTCTCAAAGGGTAGAAGTTAGAAGTACTAGGAGGACAAGAAAAATGTTACACAAAACGTAGAAGGTACATGAAAGAGATAGAGAGGGACCAAGTTGTCCTTTGGGAGGGCAACAATTGGAAGTAAACCCAATGGGATTGGCTCCCAGGCATGTCCTAACGCCTCTCACAGAACCCCAAAACACCCGTGGTCTGTCCTCTGCCCCCACAACCCCACATGATCCTCTTCTCTCTCTCTCTCTCTCTCTCTCTCTCTCTCTCTCTTCTCACCCCCCTAAAACCCTCACCATAAATACCCCCTCTTCTCCGCACTACCCTCAAACCATTTCTCTTACTTTTCTCTCTCTCTCTCTCTTGCTAGAAAATAAACCAAAGAAAGAAAAGAAAAGAAAATGGCAATAAGAAAATCAAACAGACTTCCTCAAACGGCAGTGCTGAAGCAAATCCTGAAGAGATGTTCAAGCCTAGGCAAAAAGCAGCAAGACTACGACGAGCAAGGTCTTCCCTTGGACGTCCCAAAGGGACATTTTGTCGTTTATGTGGGAGAAAACAGAAGCAGATACATTGTCCCAATCTCTTTCCTCACACGCCCCGAGTTCCAAACCTTGCTTCAACAAGCCGAAGAGGAGTTTGGCTTCGACCACGACATGGGTCTTACCATCCCTTGCGAAGAAGAAGTTTTCTTATCTCTAACGTCCATGCTCAGATGAAGTGAAAACTTATCATTTTTTTAACCTTTCCTTTTTTTTTTTGAGGGAGAAAATGGCCGAGTAAGAAGAAGCTGCTGTACTGCTTCTCTGTTTCAGTTTTCTCTCTTATTTTCGTTTTGTTTTTCGGGTGGGTGGTTATTTTATTACAGAGACTCTGACCCAAAAGACAGAGAGGTACTAGAAGAAAAGAGAAGAAACCCAGGAGTATTGGTTGATATCTGGGGTTGAATGTAAAAAAAAAAAAAAAAAAAAAAAAGTTTATATAAGTTTGAAATTTTCCTCACGGTGGTGTTGGGCCTGTAGGGCTGTGCCAATGTTGTACCCTGTGAGAGAAGAAACTGATATTAAGGATATTTTTGGGGAGTTTTCCCCTTTTCTTACTATACTTGCTCCTATAATTTCTCTCTCTTTTTTTTTTTTTTTTTTTTTTTTTTTTTTTTTTTTTTTTTTTGTGTTGCTGAGATTTTATTACTACTCTCTTGCTTTCATGGTTTTGTCTGATTTACCTTATTTTGCGCTGAGTTGTCTCCGGTTAACTCAACAGTTTTGGCCGTTAAAACTGTTAAAACTGTTAAAAAAAAAAACAGATGACTTACACGGAATGTTCTGTCACAGGTTAAGAAAAACAATTTATCTCCAATCTTATTCTAAAATCTAAACTCACTCCCAAAACAAAACTGTAGTTCCTTTTGATCTATTCTTCAACCCTTTGATTAAAAAAAAAAAACGGCAAATCAAATAAGGGGTCTTGTTATTTGTTTTGGCTAGCTGCATAATTCTGTTATGAAAAAAAGGATAAGTTGAAAAGTACTGAAAAAGCACGGATTGAGGTTTGGAGAGTGAGACTAGCCAGCTTAGATCTGAGACATATTATTAATCCACTTGTTGATTTTCCAATCTACTGTTAGAAAAGTGACATTCACGTTTTTGCATTTTATTTCTTTTGTATTTTCATAGAAACATTTCCTTTTCTTGATTAAAACGTAATGTTCTTTCCTTGTCCGACGCGACACAGCATGGATTTGCATCTACAAAATTAAAAGAGACACTTGTTAAGACTAGTTACCAATATCACACGTAAATTGGGCGTACTTTATTATATCAGTAAAAAGAAAACTTATTGAGACTCATAATACATATATACTTTTGTGGAAAGAAAATAGATTTTTCTTTCAATGGCTTAATATTTAATTTTTTTAACTATTGATATGAACCATTAGCTTTAACTAAGATTTCTCATCCAGTGTCACAAATAATGTATTTGCTACCACATTTAAACAAATCAAAATGTTTTTTAACTGATTTTTCGTTGTTTAACGTCTGAGTCCATAAAAATTTTGCACAGAAAATTAATCACACGCATAAACGCTGTTTTTGAATTTATATATCAATGTTTTTTTTAGGTAAAATTTTATTCAACTAAAAACACAGGTGACTTTTTTTTTGCTAGAACTGTACGGGATTTTTTTTAGTGGAAATACAGTATGGTTCTGATTTATATTAATTAGACATCAATTCTCATCTGATGGGTCAGTATCTATATTATGGCGACGTGACATGGTTCGTTTAATTTGTTAATTTAGATTTTTAATTTTAATTAAGATATATTTTATATGAAAATTTTTTACTGTAATAAAAAAATTTAAATATAATTATTTTTAAAATTTTTTATTATAATAAATTTTAAATTTTAAATTTAAATTAGTGAAATGAACGGACTTAAATCTCGTAAATCGTTAAATCTCGTAAATCGTTAAGGATTGGGCCTGATCATCCCATAGCTGCAAAGCTTAAATACTGCCCCCACCAAATTTTGATGGTTCAGATTTCAGATCCACTTGCTAATTGTTTAATTCTTTTTTGTGTTTCTCATCAATTTTGAACACATATATATAGGATATTCATATCAGTGTCATTTTTTGTCATCCCCTGCAGCTGTCTGGGTGGACCACAAATGTGAGCCCTGAAATCTGCGGATCCAAACACCGTACGTACCCGATTATTTCTCTTGACCGTTTGATGTATTGACTTTTCCTCATAATAAATTAAGCCTCATTTATTTTACTAGTTTAGTTCAGTTTAAGTCAGTTTAAATAGTGAATACAATTTCAATTAGTGTTTGGTACTTTAGTAAGCATGTAGTTTGAATTATATTCCTCTTTTGAATTGATTTAAACGTCCAACTTAGAGTTTAATTTCTCTCTCAAATTTAACTGTTCAAACTATTTTTAAACAGTAAAAAAGTGTCCACTCTATGTTTTTCACACCTACCCAACATAAATTCAAATTTTATTTCCTATTTAAATTAAAACTTTAACTGTACATCTAAACGTCAATTCAAACTCCAATTTAAACTATACAATTTAAATTTTTCTATCTAAATCAAAAAATTCAAACAAACAAACTAAACAGGGAATAATATTGACCTAACCAATTAATTTTCTTGTTAAAATACGATGACGGTTGGTCGAAGAAAATTTAGATTTAGGCAAAGATGAAGATCTAGGCAACAAGATTTTCTAGAGATCTTCCCTTTTGTTTTTTTTTTTTTTATCTCATGTTTATTTTAATTAGTCTATTTTACTGTAGTAATTATTAACTAAGCTTAAATTTTGGACAAGGGGAAACAAACATAACAGCATGGGCTACTGGCCTAGTAGTCTATCTCCATCACCGTCTTTCACGAAGGCATTGCAAGAAATCATTTTCGCATGAATTTATTCACTGAATAAGGCTCATCAAGCAGACTTTCTTAGTGTATCCAATAATCACGGGAAAAATACACAATATCTTACTAATTTATTATTCACAAGTCACTTTACTAGTCACCCTAAAATGTTCATTGTACTATTTTTTATAATGGTTCATTATAATATTTGTTTCTATGAATTTTAGTCCCCTTCTTAATAAATTAATTATACAATTGAGGAAAAAATAGATGTACTTTGATTTTGACTTAACTTCTCTTCTATATTAGATCAAGAAGAAAAAATGGCCTAATTTTAAAAATTGATGAAGAGGTCCTACACCAGAATTGAAAAGGAGGCAAAGTTCACATGTTCGATAGTACCACACTCATGGTAAAGGGGTTAGATCCAAATATGTAAAGCAATAATTTAATAGTCACCAAAAAAAAAAAAAGGAACAATTATTAACAGTCAGTTCAGTTATTTTTGTATTTTTCCTACTTTCTTTAACTCTCTCACGTCTTTTCAGCTTTATCCCAGTAGATTCGTGTCTGCCCTTGGTGATTTCATCTGTTGTACAAAATGATCATTTGAGGAAATTTAAATTTTAAAAAAAAAAAAAAAAAAAAAAAAAAAAAAAAAAAATCATGTTTATATGATGAATCATAATGACTAATGCGAAATATGTTGTCCATAACATGCTGCGTCGTATATATTTTGCCACTAATAGATCATCAACTTGTGATTTATATCAGTATAATGTAATAGGATAATAAACTGATAATGGAAGAGATAAGGAATATTATTATCGTCGACAATAAACATGTGAGTATCATAATCAGGTAGCTCTAGTGTCACATTATGATAACAAACCATGCCATACATAATTGAATGAGGGATTGAAAGGCGCAAAAACAAAAAGAAAAACCAAGATTTATGTCCTAATTACTTGGTCGCAGTTATTTTTTTTTTAAAAAAATAGTGGCGCATGATATTATTAGAAGAGACAATGAAAGTCCACTTTGGTGATCAATGAAAAAAAAAAAAACAAAAGAAAGCAGTGAAGCAGAGTACTGATCATGCTCATATATAGCTGGAATATCTATAAGTATTCACCTTGCATGGATGATATTATTCATTATTCGCGCCACATGATCATGAGGATCCTTCTTGTTGTTGCTATATTGACTTTGACATTGTCTAATATATATATATATATATATATATATATATTTCAATCGAATTGGAGTCAAGAGTTGGGTGTTATTGGGACAACAAGGTGGGCACAGTATTTGTAGGGCAGAGATGTTTGGCATTGTAAGTTACGTGGAAAGCTTTAGAGTGTGGCTGACCAGTTTTGTTTCTGCTTTTCCTCTTCAACAGCAAGCATTGATCCAACAGGACAACCCCAGAGTTCAGAAATCCCAACTGAAAATCTTCATTGTAGGCATGCCTAAAACACCAAACAAAAATATCACAAACAGTAAACAACCCACTTTGGACTCGGATCAACAACTGAAACCCCTACCCTTTTTTATTTCTTTTCTTTTTTTGATGTATAATAATAGCCTATAATACTTTGAATAACTTCCTCCACAACTCTATCGTGGTCTTTTCTTGTCTGATCATTTTATACCATGCCTAACGACATATATAATTTGTTTCGTTTCTCAGAGTTTATCTACACAATAGACGGATATTTATGAGTCAATTTCTAAAGAACTGTTGACTTTTCTTTTATATTTTTTTCTTTTTGAAGGAAATATGTATTGTCGCCCTCCAGACTAAATATTGCAAACCGCTCT